CCTTGTATCATCTTTGAGATTGTGCAAGAGCAGCAAAATTTACACCATGAGATGCTGTCAAAGGAATCTGAACCTGGTGCATTGCGAATAAATACCATGTCTTTTCTCCACCTTGTTCAGCTAAGCAGTGTTATCTCAAGAGGGCTGCATGAAGTGTGCCGGTCACTGACATAGCTCACAGAGCAGTCGTCACCCTGTAAGACTCAGTCTGGGCCATTGGCTGTGTGTTTTACAGTGATCTTGGTCAATCACATCAGTGTTGTCTTCAGACCTTGCAGCTATATGGATGCCTTTTGGGAGAGGGGAGGAGGAAAGGCCAACTACATTAATTTTTGTATCTGATTGGGATTTTGACTGTTAGCTTAAGTCAGATTTCCTGTTTGACAGAGTATGTCCTAAGTTTGATCAAAAATATGTGGAAGTATGGGCAAGTGAAACCTGTGGAATGGTAACCACCATTTGGAATGGCTTCTTTAGGGTAGATCTCCACTTGGGTAAGAAATACTAACTTCAAACACACTTAGTCAATGCAGGTCTTATACTCTTCTCTGCCCTGTCTTATATGTGCAGGTGAAAGGCAAAAATTGTTTTATGAGGTGGTATTTGTGATTAATAGAGGTTTAAGTCCAGATACTAGACCCTAACAAACCTCTGATGGAGGGAGTTAATTTAGAATGAAGCAACCTTTACCCTACGTTTTTAAGCATAGATGATGAGAGTAAGTTGACAAGCTCTAGCTTTCAGAGCTCAGTGCTTTGCTTGGTGTTGGAGTATGAATTTTCCTCTTGTTTTAGTACACTCTACACAAAACACTGCAGTGTCTCTTTTTGCTTAAGTACTGTTTCAGGTTTAAGTTGGCTTGTTTGACATGCAAGCTGGTGGTTTTTCATGGGCTCTTTCTGTTTTTAAAAAAGCTTTTTACAAATGTTTTATTATTTTTTAAAAATTTAATTTCATTTTTTTCAGATGAAGTTCTTGTGTGAGAGCAATGAGAGCTATGTAGGAACTGTACCTACTACACCATGCCATGGACTTGAAGGTTCATTATAGGGATATACGTTGTCCTCAGGGAGTTTGAGAGGGAAATCAAGCAGCAGTTTACTTCCAGTTAGGTATGAATGACATCCAAGAATGAGAAACTACTGTATATGCCTCAGGCGTTCTGAGAAACAGCGCTGGTGAGCTCCACTGCTGTCAGATGAAGCGGAGAGGCTTTATTAGCACATCACTCCTTTCTGAAGTCTCACTGGCTTGTCTCTCCATCAGACTCTTATGAAAGTACATGGTCACATTTAAGATCTCGTAGTACTGGTAAGACTGTAAAAATTCAGACTTCAAGCTTAATCTTAGAACTTAATCTTCTAAGGAAGGAGAATTTTGTCCTACCAAGGATTTAAAGAGAAATGGACCTGTAAAGTAGGGTCCATTTGAACAGCAACTTACAGTTCACAGAATCATAGAATTAGCAAGGTTGGAAAAGACCTTTAAGATCATTAAGTCCAGCCTATAGTATAGTTGTACAATTCATATTTATAGTAGCAGACTAAAAAAGACATGAAAAGGGATGATCCAATAGTCTAAACAAGCACCTAAACTGTTGTATTTTGATGCAAATCCCATCTCTACATCCCACCAGCTCTGCCTGAAGCCCCGTTAGTGGTATTACACATAGCCCAAGAGAGGGTTGTGTGAGGTTTTTTGTGCCCTGAGGTCCAGTTTTCAAACCCCTTTCCAGAAAGTTTGGCTCAAGTGTCACAACTTCAGTTAGTGTGTCTTTCCTGGTGTTTGTAACGGCAGATGCTGAACAGTGGTAACGAAGAGAAGAAAAGGTCACTGGTTTGCTAGTGATGGCAAAGGGTGATAACATGAAATGCTCCCAGCAGTCAGTGATTTGCAGAGTGATGTAGGTCAAATAATACTTTCCCAGTCCCCTCAATCTAATTGCCTGTAGAAAACTTAATAAATTCTACATATAATAATAAATTGTATTATGATATGATGGGGGATTAAAGGCAGATGCTTGGATTTTTCCCAGTGGGATGAAGGGAGGTTAAGGTTTTGTTCTGTTGTATTTATTTTTTATATTTTAAAGCAAAGCCAAAGAACCATGAGTCATCTTGATCTTTGCTGCAGCAGTTCCTCTGCTGTGGTCTCCAGGCATAGTCTAACAGATGCCTGCAAGTGCACAGGGATGGGTGAACTCAGAGACTGATACAACATGCTCGGGCTTATTTTTGTCACCTCCCTTGCAGAAGCTCCTTAAGGAGGCTCTGTGTTTCCTTAGGAGTCAGTGGTAGGGGAAAGGAGGGAATGCTTTGTGTCTCTTAGCAGAGGGTGTTGGGAAGATACTCAGTTGCTGATCTTGGAAGAAGGTTCTTTGTGCCAGTTCCCACTAGTGTCATGTGCAATTCCTCATGGCGGATGTCTCCAGGAAGGAGGAAACAACTCCATCACCTTTCTTCTGCTTTATGATTGCTGTCTTTTATAGCTGCTCTCTAGGCACTCTGTGCCTTCCTGGCTGAATGAGGGAGTATTTTTAGCCCTTTCTTTCCCAGGAAATGCTAGTCTACCTTGCTACTGTCTCAAAATGCTGAGGGAGATAAATGCTCCAAGTGGGCTATGGTTGAAAATTAAAATGGACCAGACAAGGTCCTCAGCTGGTATTGATTGTCTTGGTTTTAGTGGCTACACTGAAGGGACACTACTTCTTACCCATTCCTTAAAGTGATACTTTGAGGTCAGATCTCAGTTTTGGGACTCGCGCTTTTTATTCTGACTCTGTAGCTTGGGCTATCCTCTCCCTTCTTTTGTGAAACTTAAAAACTTTGTACCTTATACATTCTACACACACAGTGACTTAGGGCTGTCAGGATAAGTCAACTTTGAAGTTCTAAGTTTGCCTTTTATGGTTATGTCTTTTTCAGGCCAAATACAGAACTGTTTGCATGAGCCTTATAAAGTTAAAGAGTAAGTCCAATGAAAAATGCTGTGTTTCTTTTTAAAATACCTGTGTATGTTATGTTTTCCCAACATTGCAGAGTTCTGCTTCGGCAGCAGGGTCAGAAAGTCTGAAAGGCTAGTGGGAGGTGGCTGGACTGCCAGAAAAGAAAATGGGAAGCTGTATATACAAACCTGGTAAAAAGAAGTGATGTTTATAGCTTGGGAACCTTACTGCTGCAAGGTGTTAGAGAAGTCAGTGGCTTCAGAAGGTCTGGTATGTCATCGTTGCTATGAGCTCCCATGGAAGCTCTGGAAAGAAACCCCCGCCTGCTGCTGGCTGTTCAGGTCTACCAGCAGATTCAGGAGGCTGCGATGGAGATGATGGAGTGGGCATTAATTCTCCTGTCCCTCACATAATCACCAACAGCCTTTGATGCACTCTTGTGCTAAAAGCCTGAACATGGGAAAGCAGAAATCTCCCAACTTTACCTTAAGCTTCCTGTTTGACCACTAGCAAGTCACTTAATTGCTGTGGGTATCTTGTTGCAGGGTAGAGTTACTATTTCCTAGATCTGCTGTGCTGTGTGTTCCTGGAGGGTGGGATCTATGAACCTATGTTGGAGGCTATTCAGAATTGAAGGACCATGTCTTCTGCATCCATGTGATAACACTTGCAAGACAGCCAGGATGAGTCCCTGTACAGTGTCCCTTTGTCAATCCCGAGCCAAAAGAGGGAGATTCCTCTCTTTTCAGTATGGAGAGTTGCAGTCTGTACCTCATCTTCTTCTCTGCAGCAGGTCTGTTCTGTGACAGTGATACATTTAAATTATCCACCCACAGCAAGATTGCCTGTTTTTTTAAAAAAATCAGACTGCTGCAGAGGGAGGGAAATGATCATCACATTAACAAGCCTGTGTGGCTGAGATTTACCACAAGCAGCAAAGTGAGGCTTGGGTAATCCAGAGACCAAACGTATAATATGCTGATCCAAGCTTAAATCTCCTGCCTTTACCTTTGGACCTCTTTGTTTCTGTCAGTGTTGCATGATGGTTGCTCAGTATTGCACACATAATGCATTACTTGGCTCTGCCTGGCTTCAGACCTGGTTGTGAGTAATTAATTTGCCTTGGCTGTTGAAGATCTGGGTTTGGAGGTCTTTTCCAGACCAGTCGTGCTCAATGGCCCCATCCCTCTAGGTCGCAGCTGACTGATGCTGCAGCTGTCAGATTCATAAATCAGCAGCTTGCCCCTGAATATCCACTGGATAATGACTGGATAATGCATATTCATGATTGCAACAGCATGGTGTCATGCTGCCAATACCATGTCCCAGTGGGAAGGAGAGCAGGGTTGGGGCCCCAGCAGCTGGTGCCATCTCACTTCCTTTTATTTCCTCTTCCTGGTGCCCTCATGTTGGCTTCTTAATACGCCCCATCACTTGCTTTTCTAATGCATTTTCCCCAGATTTGCTAAATTGAGTCCTGCAAGTTTACTTTTTGCTGTGGTGCTTTCTTCCCCTTTGTCCCTACTCTGCTAATAAATAAGGTTGGGTACCTGCAAAGACGCTGCAAGGGCTCAATAAATGCAGAAAAATGATTGTTATATTTGATCATGTAAATTAAATGGCTTACTAGTAAAGGAGACACTCTGGAAGTGTCTGATTTTGGCTATTTGGCATCACTCAAGCTCTTCCTTTAAGCTCCGAGCTTCCTATTGGAGTCCCGTTGGGAATGGAAGGGCAATATCAGTCTTGTATCTTCTTCCCAAGATGGACTGTCTCTTACCCACAACTAGCCTGTGGAACTGACACTGTTGCACCTGCACTGCTCTACCCTCTGTCTTGAAAAAAAGGTGCTGTACCAACTTTTGCTGAAAAATACATTAGTTGCCTGTGATATACCATGTGAGAGGGTGCAGAGGGCTTGACTCTGCTTTTCCTTTTTATGTACAAAATCTTAGGTGCTGCAAAGGGTACTCCAAGATACACCTGAGTCCCAGCCAGAGCTGGTTGTCCCTGCAGAGAGAGTTTCATCTCACTCCTCCTCTGTTTCTTCTCTTAGGGGGACTTAAACAATCCTTAGATGGGAGGACCTTATTTGTCTGCAAGGCTGGTTAGCCATCCAGAGGGTAAGTGCGTATGGGCAGGAGCAGGCAGGGCTCCTGCAGTCCCAGGATACTCCTTTGTGTGCTTTTCTGCTGCTGGCCAAAAGCATCTATCTATTTTCACCCAATCCCACTGCCTTACTTTCTGGACCTTTCTGCTGTGAGAATTGTAGTGTGGTAGGATGTGTGCTGCATGCACTGTTTCATTCCTGGAGACTGGACTTCATCAATACTCTTGTAATATTATTTTCCTCCAAAACCTGAGCTTTTAAAAGTCTCTTATCCATTCCATGTTAAAAGAAAAAATTAAAAACACTAAAAGCACTATTAAGACAATCACTGATGTTTCCCCGCTGCAAACACGCAGTTTCCATATCCATTTATAAAATATGCATATGTAAAAATACATATGTGTTAGGATTTAAAACAAGCAGGAAGCTGAACAGCCAGGCATATTTCCATTACAAATTCTTCTCAGTGAAAATGGCTTGGATATGTTTCCTGAAACCAGCTTCCTAATTTGTCCCCATAAGCAGTTGTTCAGGAGGAACAGGGAAGAAGGATGGGGAGGGAGAAGAAAATGGAAATCTCATAGGGGGAATGGATCTCTTGACTATGGGATGTAGTTTTCTGGCATGATGGGCATGGTGGTCAGGTTGGGACTAGCCCTTTTCTTAAGTGATGTACAAGGCCGCCTTACATTGGTGGCTTCCCCTTTGAAGCTGGGCTTTGAGTGGGAAAAATGGCAGTGCTGCTCAGCCTGCCTCTGTGCTCCCTACCTGCATCTGCTGTAGCTTATCTGTGCCTCGGAGCATCTGTCTCTTTGCTGTCCACTTGCACCCAATTGTGATTTTATTAGGGTAACCGGAGAGCAGGGTGCCTCTTTCAGCACTCTGGGCTTTCTTGCTTGATGCACTATGCCTCCTCAACCATCTCTGCCCAGAGAAGCTGGGCTGAGGGGAGCTGCCAACTCTGACAGCCCGACACAAAGACCCAGTAGGAGACCTAACAGCTTTCACATCCAAAACCTCTACTGGGAGCTTTTTGTCTCATATGAAAACCCCAGATAGGAATTCAAATTGCCTGAATTTTTTTTTTCTATCTTTGCCACGCACTGATAACTTTGGGCCAGTCCTCTGGCTTGTTTGCTTCCCCTTGCCTGTCTGTACAACTGGGAGGATGATATTGCTGTTCTTGCATGGGCACCGCCCCCAGTTCTAGCACTGGGCACTCCATCTGTTGCAGTTCAGTGATGAGATCTGAAGTTGTCCCTTCCTGTGCTGTTTTAGCAGAGAGCCAGGTGGCTGTGACCTGCCTTAGCGTGATGGCAGGACCAGTGGATCCTAGGAGAGGCTGTACCTTTCCCTGGCAGCTTCCTTGCAGCTGCTCCTTTCATCACCAAGAGGACCAGTCAGAAGATACCAGGTACTTTAGGAAACCAGCCTGGAGACAGCATCTCTTGTAAATCCACCCCTATACTGGGCAGCATTTGCCACAAAGCCTTATATTCTTGCTCCCTGTTAATAGCTCTGATTACAGAGATACAGTGGCACTACGTACTCATCTGGTCCAAGATTCTACTTCACTGCACCTTATATCTTGTAGGAAAATCAGTACAATTTGGTACTGAGTCTAGCAATTCAAGAGATTGCTCAGAGGCTGGCTTTGTGGTTGCCTACCACACATTTCAGCAGTTACAGTTATTGTCATACATAGTGCAGATCTTGCTTTAAACTTTCCTGGGTACCTGTCCATCTCTTCATATGCTCAAGGTACATCATGCTGCTTTTCACCTATCCCATTTATAGATGGGATTTTAATGCAAAGAAAGTTTAAAAGCTGGCTCTTTTCTTGAGCTCCATCTTGGCCTCTCCATCGCACAGAGTATGTTCTGCATTGTGGGAGACCTAGGAGAAGTCTCTTTTCCACGGTAATATGGAGAGCTGCCAGTCCAGGTGGGGAAGTGTCTGCCTCTGAAGCACCTGCTTCATCTTGGGAGGCTGGAGAGAAGATAAAAGCGGAGGAGTTCTGGCAGTTAGGAGTCTTCTGCATCTCAGCAGTGAGATCTTGTCCTTCCCTGCACTGCTTTCCCATGTGTTGGCAGAGTCAGCACTAGGTCCTAAATACTGACTGAAAGTTAAGCTCGCCTATCTGGAGAACAGCAGTGGGTTTATTGTCCCAGATTCTCATCTCCTCTTATAGTACTATGGGCACACTGAGGTTTTAAAAGGTGCAAAGTACCCCTCAGCACTGGTGAGGCTGCACCTCAAGCACTGTGTGCAGTTCTGGGCCCCTCACTACAGGAAGGACATTGAGGGGCTGGAGTGTGTCCAGAGAAGAGCCACCAAACTGGTGAAGGGTCTAGAGAACAAGTCATAAGAGGAGTGGCTGAGGGAACTAGGGATGTTTAGTTTGAAGAAGAGGAAGCTGAGGGGAGACCTCATTGTCCTCTGCAACTATCTGAAAGGAGATTGTGGGGAGGTGGTTGTTGGCCTTTTCTCCCAAGTGAATGACAGAGGAAATGGCCTGAAGTTGTGGCAGCGGAGGTTTAGATTGGATATTAGAAGAGTTTATTTACTGAAAGAGTGGTCAGGCACTGGAACAGCCTGCCCAGGGAGATGGTTGAGTCACCATCCTTGGATGTATTCAGCTTTTTCAAGAGTGAGTGTTCCACTTCAGCACTAGTCAATGTAACCCTTATAAGGGTATATCTTCCTTCTTTTTTTTTCCCCTTTTCTTTATGGTTGACATCTGGGGAGGACTCTGTCCATCCATCACCATTGATCCCCAGGCTCATGCATTCCTGACCCTCACAACTCTCCCCTCAGCTCCTGTCTGCTCTGCCTCTCTCTCTGGCAGCTCCAGGACATTTCAGATCTGCTCCCAGCTCAGGAGATGCCAGGGGAGTTGCTGGGTGTGGGGGAGGCAATAGGGTTCTGCACATTCCTGCACATACTTGTATGTATTTGTACACATTTTATTTTATTGTTAGCATTTAACTAAAGCTGTCTAGTTTAGTTTTCGATCTGGAAAGTCTCTCTCCTTCATTATCTCTCTCCTTCCCTAGCTGGGTGGGAAGGGGAGGGGATTGAGAGCGTTGTTGTCACTGGTCTAATTGCCCATCCTGAGCCAAACCATGACAGCTCAGTTTTCATGTAATTGTCCCTCTTGTCCTAGCCTGCTTTGTGGTCTGTTCATGCCTTTATGCATCCACCTTTACCAGGATTTCAGATAGAACTCCAGTCTTCTCTTCCCTTTTGCAGGCTACCACTCTTGCTGGTTACTACTCTTGCTCATCTAGAGTTTCAAACAGTACTTAAGTGTTTGATCATAAATCACAGGTGTAATTTAAAAGCTGCCTTTGATTTCTTCAAATTCCTGGCCCTTCTAGAGGCAGACAACTGGTGTTTTCAGCTAGTAACTTGGGTGCTAGCACAGGTGGTCTCTGCCTTCTGCTTGTGATTTTTTGAAGGGTCTGTGTTCAGCAGTTGGGTAGGGCATATCATTTGCCTGTTTCCTTCAGACCTTAGCATAAACTAGTAGTAAGTAACCTGTAGAGCAGCATGCTTTCTCTTTGTGGAAGTTAATTGGATGATTGATTCTTCTGCAAATGCTATGGTGGGACAGGCTCCTTGCTTTCAGGGAGAAAGGTAGGGTGGTAATGGTAGGAGGTGATTTGCAAGCATATCCCAGCACCTGCCAGACTTTCCTAATGGTCTGTTACTCCCTATGCCATGTTCAGGATGTTGTAGACATGGATGAGAAGTCCTGTTTTATAAGCTGAGTTAAGGGACCTGCTAGTCATTTGTTAGAGTATAGTATTTTTGGTGGCCTCTATGGGCTAGGAGGACAATTCCTTCATGCAGAGGTAAACCTCTTGGGTAACTGGTTTGTTCTTTGGGTTTATTGTGTTACTGACTTTTGTAAGTTGTTTGCTGGTTTGGGTGGTTCAGGTGTAGCTGCCTACTACTTGTTTTTCTTTAGAGTAAGCTGACAACAAATAACTTTATTAAGAATATTTATTACTTAAGAGGGAAAACAGGAATAGTGTAGCTGGACCAGCTTACTGCTGGTTATTGCACAGCTTTGTCTGTTACTGGACTATCAGATGGCTGAAGCAGGAACCAGGGAACAGAAAACAGGCAGCTATCTTGTTTTCCTTTGTCCTTCCATCTCTTCTGGAGAAGAAGGTGAGCAGGGACTTCACAAACCCTTTGTGGTTGTGTCATTTCTGGCAGAGGCGTTTTCTTTCCAGAGGTGCTTCAACTGGAAACTGCAAGGGCTGCATCTGGTGCAAGGACACATCCATGCCTGTTCAAGACCTCGTGGAAAGCCATGTCTTTCATCTTGCTGCTGGGACATGTTTATGGTTGCTGTGGAGAGCTATTCCCTCTCTTCCAGACTCACCTGTGCCTTGAACCTCCCTGCAGTTTTCTGCTATTCTGCCTACCAGGTTTTTCCTTGAATGTGTGCCTGTGTTTTGAGGCTCTTATGTGATGTCATTCCTTACCCCTTTATAATGGTTTTCCTCTGGAGCAAAAGTTTTTTGCTCAGTCTCTTGGGACAGGCTGCTGCTTCCTTCAGATCTTACAGAGCTTGCAGAGGATGGAAGGAGCCATTCTGTTTCTCTCTGGCTTATTTTAACCCCTAATAGAAGACACTTATTTCCAAAGTGTTTCTCCAAAGCAGGGCAACTTTTGCAACTTTGATTCCCTCTTTAGCATCCCTCACTCTTTTTTCATCTGAGGGCTGCATTGTCTGAGTTTGCAGATAAGCAGCCAGTAAGCCAACAAGAATGGTGAGTGAGATGTGCAGCCCATTTTTTAATTTAAAAAGCAGCAAGTACCTGAAAACTAAGCATTGGAGAGGCTGTGGTTCATAACAGAGCATCAGCTTGCCAGCCTTGTTTGCCTAATTTCTTTCAGGCTGGGCAGGCCATAGAGAATATCAGCATTTTGACCCTTGATTGAAAACAAATGGTGGTATACCCCACTGCTGGAGAAGTTCCTTCAGTCCCTTCAGAGCTTGTATGTTGTGTCGTTGGTGACAGTTTTGTGCATGAGCAACTGGAGGAGCCCAGACAGTCACTGGGGTGAGCCAGCAAGTTTTGCCTAGTCAGTTTTCTAAAATCACTGATAAGGATTACTGGATTGCAGGCATGGTGTACTGAGGTGAATGTTGTTCTAGAGGACTGCAGTCAATTTTTGCCTGCAGGGCATCTCTGCCAAAGGAAAATTAAATCAAACACTGCAGTGTTTGTGGTCTGAGGGCTCCTCAATGCCTGTGAGCAGGGGGTTTTTGGAGGACAGGATGCCCAATCTGAGATGTGTCTGAAGAGTTATGCAGAGGTGACAATGAAATCTGATGCCTTTAAATACAAATACTCCCAATGGAGAGGTAGAGGGTAAATGTTCAATAATGAACAATAATGAACTAGTTGTAAAACCTATGTTGTGGCTGGCTTCAGTGTAGTAAAGCTGTGCAAGAAACTGTTTCTTGTTTAGTTGGCTTGGTGCCCATCCTGGGGGAGAAACAATGTGATGGGAGGAAAGGGAAGACACAGAAAGCTCCTTCAGTGATCCTGTTGGAAGGGTGTCAGAGCCTCCTTCATGGTGAATGCATTGAAAACCCACTGCAAATCCTCTTCACGTGGCACCTGAGCTTTTCTTGAAACTGTGGTGGGGTGATAGGATGTACTGCAAGACAAAGGTAGGATGCTGGTGCTCACTTGGGCTGGGCGTTTGCTCTCCTGGCTTCCTGCACTAGGCTTGTTTGGAGCTGTGTTGCTCTCGCTACCAGGCTGGAAGCAGCTGCTGCTGCTGCCAGGCGGAAGTACTCAGTGAGGCTTTCCTAGAGAGCTTTGAACAGGAGCCAGGAGCTCTTTCACTACAGGAGAAAATCCATGAGGTCAGGAAATGCAGCAGTGGCAGCTCTGGCTCCGTGTGGGGGCTGTTGGCTTGGCACATGGATCCCAGCCTTCCTCTTTTTAGACAGTACTCCTGAGCAGCTGTTCTCGTCATCTCACTCAGCTGTTTGTTCAACATCCCTGCATGGCTTTTAGGGACTGCAACAGTTAAGTATGGTAGAGGTGATAAACTTGGACAAGCCAAGAAAACACCAAACAGTGACCACGATCAGGCTTTCAGATCTTGATGAGCTTGCAGAGGATGGAGGAATTACTGTTCCTCCTCAGTGTGGGACTGGGCTGTACTTTCATGTTTCCTTCTTATGTAATAATCAGTTCTGTCTGCTCTGTGTTAGCTGCTGAAAAATAGAAACTCTTGTTTATCCTCCTCTGGAAATCTTCTCATTTGGAGAAGGTTTCACAACAACCAACAGGCTGTAAACCTCTGATGTGTCCCCAGACTGAGCATGAAAATTTGAGGTGTCTTTTCCTACCTCTATGGCAAGAACTTCACACTCTTTTTTCCTACCTTTGTATTTTAGGAGAGCTGGAAATAGTGTCTTCAGGATGGCTGTTCCTTGAACCAGTGCATGCAGTGGTGGTGATGGTCATGTGGCATTGAGGAACACCCACCCCTATGTTAAAACCTGTGCTTGCATTGTTGAACAGCCTTGCTCTTCCTGTATTCAGGAGCAAAGAGCATAATGGGGAGCTATGAGATGGTGTTGGTAAGGTCAATTTAAGGGTAAGACCAGCTGCCTGACTTTGTAACACAGCTCAACCATTTGTAAATCCCTGCTTTCCCTGCTAACTTTGGCCAGTCTCTCTCCTGACGCATTTGCATGTGCTCTGATGAGTGGTTGGGTCACACACTCCCTGTGAAGAGAGATCCCTGTGAAGGATTGTGTATCCTTCAGGAAAGGAAGCAAACTTGTCAGATCATTGATTTTAGCATACATTATTTCGGGCAGCTCTCAGGCCCAGAGCTCTCCAGCATTCCCCACGCTCTCGCTGTACATTAGGACATGTTTTGCATTAATGGTGTGAAACAGCCAGCTGGGCTGAACTTGCCATACTCTGTAAGCTGCAGAATTTCTCCTGCAATTGCCAGGATGAGGATGGCATGTAGAGCAGTCAAGAGTTAGCACCAGCACTTCCTAGGTGTGGTGTGAGTGACCAAACACCAATGTTGCAGAGTACTTACATGTAAATTGTCCATGTGTTGGCTGTTAGTGATGGGGAGCAATAGCTTTCTACCTCCTCATTTCTCCTGCCTTTTGAGTGGGTGTGGAGCAGGGAGATATGAGTCTGTGTTTGTCTAGAGGAGCCAGAGCTCAATGCTCTGGGCTGGGGTGGTGATGTGCAGGGCTGGCTGGTGTGTGGTTGCCCCTCTGCTGTGCAGCAGAACTCAGCAGCTCGCAGTGTGGACCAGGAGTGTTGGGTGGCTGTGCATCTTCTGAAGGGATAGTCCAAGCAATGCCTTCCACTGGGGTGGTCTCCAAGGACTCCAAGGACCCTCTCCTCAAGGACTCATGTATTCTCTTCCCCAGATTGAGTCTAGACATTTCTCACTGCCTTAGCAAGTCCCATAGACCTGGGCTGTTCCCCTTGAGCATCATCGTAGCAGCTGCTAGATCACTGGCACCAGATAAAGAACAAGAGCCATCATAGCTGCTGCAGGCCTTTCTTTGCAGCTGCCATGAGTTTTGCTAGGGGTTGCAGAGCTCCCTGCTCTATATGAAAGATGGGAGTTGGTTGCAGAGTTTCTTCAGACCCTTGTAATTCCTCTGTGTTCAGCTGTGAAGCTGTTGTCCTGCAGGAGTGATACCCTCTTGGCCAGCAGTGTTGGTGAAGATGGTCAATCAGCGCTTGCTCCTCAGTCCCTGTTTGAGCCTGTCACTGTCCCTCATGGCAATCAATCATCTCTTTCCATCTGAGAGAGATAAGAAGTCCTGGGTGGGAATCTCACTTTTCCCTGAGACCTACTGTATTTAAGTTCATATATGTGAGCATGTGCATTAATGGAGGACAGTAAGCTGCACACTGTCAATTAGTGTGATCACTTAGATGGTATACTGTAGCCTTGCTTCCAACCTGATTGTCTTCCTTGACCATCAGAAGAGAGGAACATCAGACTTTTCTTGGAAGGAGTGGCACTTTGGTGTATGAACCTAGGATATTGCATTATTTGCACCTCATTTTCCCCACCATCACAAGTTTTCCATTGTGTTTAATGACCTTTAGCTTCTCCAGCAGTGAAGAATGGCACAGCAACTAGAGGTCTTGCATAGCATCATGTTTGTGCTCTGGTTGCTCTTTTATACCACCTCCATTGCATTCTGGATGCTGAGAAGGAGCTTTGTTTGCCTTTCTGCTACTGAGACAGCAGCTCAGAAGAGGTTTTTGTCAAGAGGTGGTTGTGTCTGACTGTGCCCAGCTGAAGTGGGTGATTGAATAGTCCTGAGCGGTTTAAGGTCACAGTCTGTTGGGGATTGCAGGCATAAAGGGATATGGCAAGCACACAGTGCTGCAGAAGCATGGGTCTGACTGTAATCATTCCAAATTAGCACCTTTCATGATAGCACCTTTCATCTTGTGGAAGCAGTCCCTTTCACAGTCTCCTTCCCTCTTGAGATGGCCAGCACAGTGCTAGCATCATTAGATGGAGGATGGGCATAGGGTGTGGATATGCCACTATCTCAAACCTGCCCTGTGGTTTGAGGCTTAATGCAGCCTTAAGGGTGAAGACATGGAGCTAACAGCATATCTGGGGAGAGTTCTTCCTGAGTCCTGTGGGCATTGACATTTAAACCTCACTGGCCAAGGCTTTCAAGTCTATTTAATGATTTTTGGATGGCCAGCTTAAAATGAGGCAAATTGAGACAGTGCTGAGCACTTATGGAAAATGAGGCCTCTTAAATAGGCTATTTTAGGGTTAACTTTTGATTTATACAACCTGTACCTGTATTTTCTTATCAGTAACACCCTTACCTTTTGAGGTTTGCTTGGGGAATGTGTAAAGTTTGCATCCTGATGATCAGGCTGAAGGATTACAGTGTATGACAGGATAAACACAGTTTTGGTTTCAGTCTAATGGATTATTTTGCCCATTTTAAAGTAATCTTCATTACTATCAGAGAGAGTTAAATTAAATAGCTCTGCATACTGCAGTTCCATGCTGTATATTTAGATGAAGTTTCATGGTTTTAGGTGAGGCTATGTATTTCTTGTATCCTGGAGCACAGTATGGGTTGACAGACTGAAATAAGTATAATTTTATCTGCATAGATTCTCAGGGTAGTCAGTGTGCTGGACGAGAAGAAGGTAAGAAAGCCCTTGACCCTTGGGGAACATGGGCCATCCCACCATCTCCCTCCCCAATTCCAAGCCAGGCTCACCAGGGTGGTGTGTGTGCAGTCTTGAGATGAGACACCACAGTGGTCCTGAACCAGAATAATCTGTGATGGCAATTTCATGGTTGATTTGCATCCCTGATGGGGGCTTCTTGTTTTCACCCAAAGAATTGAGGAATGGCTCTTTGTCATTGAGAATAGCAGTGAAGTGGGTTTACCTTGTCCCATCCTCAATCCCTACTAAAGTCAAGCAACTTAAAAGACAGGCAAAACCTTAAGGACTGTGTCCTTTCACGTCTGTCTTGCAGAACTAGGTATCTCTGTATTACAATGTGCTGGATCCCAGACCTTGGTGTGTCTATCTCACAGCATTTGGGTGTTCCTGGGACGTTCAGGAGACACAGGGAATGCTCAACATCTGAGGAATGAGGCAGTGTTTTGCAGCTTTCTTCCTTTATCAGCAGAAAAGGGGGGCTGACCACTTGGCCCTGCTGCAGAGCAGACAGTAATGGGGAGGGATCCCCTTTCCTAACACAGCGGCCATGTTTCTCCTTGCAGGTAGTGGTGCTCCTGGAAGTCCTGAGCTTTGGTCAGCTGGAAGATGACTGAATATAAGCTGGTGGTGGTGGGAGCTGGTGGTGTTGGGAAGAGTGCTTTGACAATACAGCTCATACAGAATCATTTCGTTGATGAGTATGACCCCACAATAGAGGTAAGCAGTTCTGGGCATGAAGTCTGTCTGCATGATTTCCTCTTGCTATTCTTGGAGATTGCTCTCATGTCTGAATTTGAGCAGGGATGTTCCTCTGCTTCACAGAGCTATTCTGAGTCACTACATGTGTGTAACCAACTTGTGCCTTCCACAGAAGGACAGCAGTGTCTGATGAAGAGAGATGGTGAGGGAGGCAGCAGAAGCAGGCAGAGGTGGGCAGAGGCTGAGAGAGAGCAAAAAAAGTCCTCCTTTTTGATGAGATGACAGTGTAGGGATGGGTTAAAGGTTTGGGATGGATGAGCCATTTTGCCCCAGTGCTTCCATTTATCATCCTGTGAAATCAGAGTAAATATATTGACTTTTCATGCAGGATATTTGGAGATTTACTGATGAAATGGATTTCATCAGAGCTATTATGTATATCCTGCAGTTTGAGCAAGATGTTGTGGTTCCCAGAGTGCTGCCTCTACTGCATCATGAGGAGCTAAAGCTTGATATCTGGGTCTGAGTCAGCATGGATGGCAGCACTGGCCTGTTTAGCTGAGCATCTTGCCTGGAGAAGCAGGCAGGAACTCTGTGCTCCTCCAGACTGTGCAGAGGCAGGATCTAGTCTTCAACATCCATGACACTGTATTTTTTATTTTTCTTACTTTCTAAAAAACTTCATTTTCCAAGTGCTTTCACTGTTGCTTACAAGATGCTAATTACCCCCTGTATGACTTACGCCTTCTTTTGGGAGAAGTGTGGACTGCAGGTGCTGCCCTACACAAGGATTTAGTCCACCTTGAGAAGGCAGATTACAGCTCTGTCGTGCCTGCTGGACAATAAATAACCTCTCTGTCTGCAGTCCGAATGGATTCTCTACCAGATGTGTATAAATGCAGCTGTGGTTTCAGCAGTTATTATTATAGTAATGGCTAAAAGGCCCCAGCTGAGATCAGAAATCTGTTCTAGTTGGTGTTGTATGTGTAGTCCCCTCAAGAGCTTACAACTTAAATAAACAAGCAAGGCAAGGCTTGGTAGAAAAGCAGAAATACTACAGTTGGGAAGGAGATAAAGGATGTAAAGGCATGTGCTATTAGGTCATTTGGCCAAGGACACCTAGAAAATGCATGGCAGAGACTGGAATTTGATTTAAGGGCTCCCGAGTCCCATTGTTGCATGTTGCTTATGGATGTGGTTGCCTTCTTCCTCAGTTCCTCTCCCCTCTCATACTTGCTACCAGTAGCATCATATGCTTTTCCTAGAAACCCATTTCAGGGTTTTTTTTGGCAAAAAAGCTGCTGATGGAGAGCATCCTCGCTGGGGAGACATCTGCATGGATGTGTCCCCTCTTGGACCTTAGGGTGGGTGAAGGCAGCTCTGACCTAATGATATGTTGAGTTTCGGTATCCAAATTCTTTTGTCTCCAGCCTCCTGCACATGCCTGCAGAGAATTTTCTCAATGTAAACAGGTAGCAGGAAACGTAAACCTTGCATGGCATTTCCCAGCATGCCCTCCTTGCCCTGCCTGCTTTTGCCATACCCCAGAAGATGCCTGCACTCCTCTTCTGTTCCCCCCAGCCCCTCTGTTCTTCCTCAAGCAGCCACAAGCCACTTGTCATCCCTCTTGCCCCTGGTGCTTTTCTACTTGCAGCTACCCACCAGCCCTGAAGCTTTTGCAGCTCCCTTGGTTGTGCCCCACATCCCCCCTATCCTGGCCATCTTCTCACACATTCCAGGGTGACTCCTTTTAATTATTCTTCATATTGGTGAAATTTAGGATGCACAGGGAGTTACCTGCCAGTCCTCCAAATGTGACCAACAAAACACCCTACTCTGACTAAGCTGCTTTGGATCATGCCCAGGAGCTGACTCTGGCTGTTCAGCCAGCTAACAAACAACACAGCAATGCTGAAATGAGCAGGATAAAAGGGGAAAAAAAGAGCACATGTGCACAGAGCAAAGACTTTACCTGTTGCTTAAATGAATTGAATGCAAGCTGTGCTGCAAAGAGGGGTGTGAGTGGGTTGGGGTGTATTGAGATGCTTCCCAGGGCTGGAGGGGTGGGAGTTAATTTTAAACTGCAGCTGTAGCCTCTATGGCTGCAAAGTGCTGTCATGTTCATATTGCTGGCACACCTTTTTCATACCTTTTCATACCTTTTTCATACCTTTGGTTTTGTTTCATATCTTTGGTTTTGTTTTCCTTCTCTTGCTGAGAGTTGAGGATGGTGCACCATACCCAGGGGATGGGTAGCAGAGATGAATGAGGCTATGCAGTTTGATAGAGACAAAGCTGCCCCTAGTTTGCCAGAGGCAGGGCTGGGAATAGGGGGAGCAAGCCAGGGGATACCTTCCCTGTGACTCTACCAGATGAAGGGGAAACCTGCTCAGCTGCTTCATTTATTTATTTATTTAATTTTTTTATTTTTTTTTTTTCCCTTTCCATCCTGTTTTTGAAACAGATTGAGTTGGCTGTTTAATGGGGCATAAACCTGGGCAGAGTGTGACCAGGCATGCAGTTGCTACATGCCTTCATTTGGCCAGACCTGAGCCCTCCATTAATGTGTCCTCCTCCCTTTCTTTCCTGACCTGCAGGATTCTTACAGAAAGCAAGTTGTCATTGACGGCGAGACCTGCTTGTTAGACATCTTAGATACTGCAGGGCAAGAGGAGTACAGTGCCATGAGAGATCAGTACATGAGAACGGGGGAGGGATTCCTCTGCGTCTTTGCCATCAACAACACAAAGTCCTTTGAAGATATTCACCAGTACAGGTTGGTATCTGGGGAAGGGCCTCTTCCATCTTGGCCTGTGCAAAGGGGAGGTCTTGCTGCTGCACTCTGCTGCCCTCCCCTCTAATTTAGATGGGGACCTGTGGTGGAAGCATTGGCTGTCAGCAAAGACTATTATCTCAAGTGGCAATTCCCTGGGGAAGAGATGGAGCAGATGGTTAATGTCAGTGACTCCAATAAAACCTATCAAAAGGGATTTCTTGTGGCCTTTGGGGCTGGATAATGTGATGTTTAAGTGTTTATGGTGACTAAAGAGAGAGCAGATCTCTGTGACCCCCTCCTGCCCCTCCCTAATTAATGGAATTGCTTTGTTAGTGCAGGTGATCTCAGCAACTTCTGCTGGGCCCAGGATCTGAGAAGGGAGGCTGAGAAGGGCAGGAAGGGCTGCTTCCCCTGCTCTCAGCCATTGTGGCAAGGCTGTTGTGTGTTGGCCACACACAGGTGGGGAAAGGTAGTCCTGGCCCTTTGGAGCTTGTTTTCAACCAGGGCAAAGATGGAGCAGGAGGTTAATGTTCAATGCTAGGTTGGATGGGGCTTTGAGCAACCTGGTCTAGTGGCAGTTGTCCCTTCCCATTCCCCCTGGGATTGGAAGTATTCTGTGATTCTCTGTACCCCAGTCTCATCATAAACCCAGGTCCCAGATAATCCTGTAGCTCCAAGCACAGGCACAGCCTTCCCTTGCTCTGCAGTTAGAGGCACTACTGTGAGCTGTTGAGATGTCTCAGTCTTCACCTAGTAGGCATGTTCAGTGATAAGTATACTGTTTGACTAATTTGGCTAATTTTAGCTGAACCAGAGGACAAAGGATGGGAATTTTCCTAAAGCATCTGAAGAATTCAGCAGCATTCATCTTTATGCCAGGACTGGTGCCTGTGAATCACTCGTAGGATAGCTTGATTTCAAGCTCCGGTTTTAATCGTTATTTAAATCACCGGCTTTCATCTTGTTTTGCCTGGGCTCTTTGTGTTTGTACTTTAAAAAAATACTCCCCAGAGAAGCACTGTCTCTCCTGTCTCTCTCCTTGGAAGCATTATGAAGTATCTCTTTTCAGCTAAGTGTAGCCTGTGCACTAAATATAGTACTTTAATTTGCTGATCAGGATGCTACATGGAACATTTAAGTGGCTTTATGGTGTATCATAGACATAGTCAGACCTCATTTCTATGTTCTACTACATAAAAAAAAATATATTTTTTTTTGTGTGCAATACATGTCCAACTGCTTTTGGATGGAAATCTGAATTCAATTAGAATGCAGAAATCAGCATTTTAAATAAAGCTTTTATTAGTCAAATAAACCAATTAAATATTTTGGATGCACGAGCAAGGGAAAAAAAGCTGGTTGGCATCTGAAGTTAAATGTTTAAGAAAAGGAAGTATCAGGAGGGAATTGAATAGATTATTTGTGATCATGATGCCCTTTAAGATTTTTAGAAGTGGTAGATGTCATTCTTGCCCACCTAGATTTAAATCCAAGGTTGGAATGAAGAAGTGAGTATTACAGCTTTTTCACTTCCCAGTTGGTTCCTCAACTTTGAGTGACTTGAACTAAATTGAAAGAAAGCAAATACTACCTGTGCATCTGCAGAAGAGGTTATAGCTGCCAAAAGCTGTTTTTTCTGCTCAGTAAATTCTTGTATGCAGGTGATTTATTGTTGGTTTTTTTTATTCCCTTTCAAGGGAATTACTTGATCTAAAGTGTTGGAAATAACACATGTAACTGCTTGAGTGTTCATTTTTATTTAGTTTAAACTGTATTAAGCTCATGTCTTATAGTTGGTCATAATTTCAGGTTGTGTTTTGTAAACTTATGCACTTAAAAAGCAGAAAGATGTTTAGGTCTCATTTCAATAAGTGACCTAGCTTTTGACTGTTTATTCAGTTATTTGCTGTGGTCATTTACATTCTCTTGAAAGCCCAACACAAGGTTCTTGTCAGGAATGAAACCTAGCTGTTAATTCTTGAAAAATAATTTGGTGGAGAGTGTTTTGGAGCTGCCCCTGATGCCTTTTCTTCCTTAACTTTGGCATCTCGTACTCTTGCAGGGAGCAGATCAAAAGGGTGAAAGACTCAGACGATGTTCCTATGGTACTGGTGGGAAATAAATGTGACCTGCCAGCCCGAACAGTGGAGACCCGGCAAGCGCAGGACCTGGCCCGGAGTTACGGGATCCCCTACATAGAAACATCTGCCAAAACCAGACAGGTAGGACGAGGGTTTAATCAAAATTTTCTTATTTTTCTCTTTTCTCTGGTGCTGTCCTGGAGAGGCAGAAGTAGGCAAACACCACTGTGCAGACAGGTGCAAGTGCTGGACGTAGTTGCTTCCTCAAGGCTACATGCTCCATCAGGACATTCCCTTCCTTGTTTGGGCTTCCTCCAATCTGGAGAAGTGCATAATTCATGCTCTGGCAGAAGAGATGGGAAGATGACTTCTCAGGGCTTTCTCCAAGGCTCTGGAGCAAGTCCCATAGTCATTGCTGGTCAGCTAAGGTCAGGGATTTGGCTAAACTTATCCTTAGTCTATTTTGGCAGACCTACAGGCAGAATATAACAGTGCTGGAATGACCATGTTGGGCTCCCAGAGCACAAGGGTGAAATGGAGCAGTTGATACCTTCAGTGATCTAGTGGCTTTTCTCTTATGTGGTAGACCTCATTCAGGCTGCTGTAAGCTCAAGGAGTTCCTTGCCCTTGTGGCTCCTTGCCTCTTGCCGTCTGGGGGTTACACTGACATCCCTGTTAGTCTTCCCAACTCCATTTTGTTTCTTTAACTCTGCAATCTGCACTGCTGGAAGACAGCACTAGGAACTACCTGGCTGAGGAGCAGAGCCCTTCCCCCTCTAAACTGTCCCCCCTCTAAACTGGCAGCTGCATCAAGCGATGCTTTTCTTTCAGGGCGTTGAAGATGCCTTCTACACCTTGGTGCGGGAGATCCGTCAGCACAAGCTGCGCAAGCTGAATCCTCCAGATGAGAGTGGCCCAGGCTGCATGAACTGTAAATGTGTGATATCATGACTATGGTGAGTTTTGGAAGCAGGAGATGGTGTGTAGAGGGGTTATAAAGCAGGAGAGGGGGATACAGCAGGGGTGTATTGGAAGCAAGGCAGGAGGTGACTGCAGATGCACTCATCTGCAAAAAAATGCAGCAGAAACTATTTCAGCAATGAGTATTTTTAAATGAAACACATTTTTAACTGAAACAGTATTTTTCTGACAAAACATAAGTAAGTGGAACATAAGGAAGCATGTAGGAGGGAAGAGTTGTATGTTTTCCCCCCTGATTTTGTGGAAGAAAATTTGACATAAATAATAATTTTTTAAAAAGTCTTATGCTGTGCTTTCCCCAGGAAAGCTTCTTCCTATGCTGCCCCCCTGGAAGAGGAGTTAAGCTGGTGTTGAAGGTGTGCAGCTTGCTTGCACATTCACCAGACTGGCTCTAGAAGAAGGTCAGATTAAGAGCTGGTTGAGTGTATTGCCTCCTAATGCATTCACTGTGAATTGCCTCATCCTAAAGCTTCAGAGCAGACATGTCTCACTGTGAAAGCCCTGTGTTCCTTAGAAGAGTTTTCCCTATCAGATATATCCCCTGGGATATTGGAAACTGATGTAGCATTGAAAATTAGCCATAAGGGGTTTCTTAAAATATGTGTGCTGGAGCCAAAAAGAGTGTTTTTCAGATTTCACATTTTCACTTGACTATTACTCTTTTTGTATCTCTTTTTTTTGATGGTGAGTTTATTTAAATCACTTTTATGTTCCTGGATAGCAGTGAAGGAGAGATCCTAAGGGTGTCTCTGCATGAGCTGGGTGGCCTTAAGCCAAATGTCTAGGAACAGCTGGCTGTTTAACCAGCTCCTTCTGTTCCTTCCATGGCAGAAGTGGAGAGAGGCAACTGGGGATGAGTGGACTGGGGAGATATACATCTAAGGATATCTGGGACTGGGTTGTAGGAGAAAAGCCAATACAAACATTGTCCTTAATGTCTTTTGGGGAGTCTCCCAAGCACCTGGGCTGGCCCTTCACCCCTTTACACTACTGCTGGAGTCCTAAAGAGAAGTGCATCATGTCCAGAGATGGTACTGAGAGGCTCTTGCTGAAGATGGAGATGAGAAGCTGGTTTTCCTCCATTGCTTTTTAAGCCAAGGGCAGAGAGTCAGCAGAGCTCTTCCCTCCCCACCTGTCCCCCCAAAAAAAGAAAAAAAAAAAAAAAAAAAGAAATGCTGGCAGTATTTGCTTCTAAGGAAAAAAAATCCAGTTCCACTCCTCTGCTCCCATTTAAGGTGCATGAGGTCTTCTGGGAACTGAGCTGAATGCTGTACCCAGCACACCTACAACTGCTAACAGAGTTTTTCCATGGTTGAGTCCTCCAGATGTTCAGTAGCATTTCCTCCAGATGGGGATGTAAGCTCATGGCTAACTTCCTGCTCTGGCTTACAGCTGACAGGATGAGTTTGGTGGATGCTGCTGCTCCCTACATGGAAAACAAGGAGCCCAGCATCTGTCACAGCCCAGTGGTCAGCACTGGCATGTGCAGTGTCTTCAGAAACAGGGGTGAAAAGGGGAGGAAAGGAGTGTCTTAAAAATAATAAAATGGAATTGTAGAATGTCTTGTGTTGGAAGGGACCTCTAAAAATCATCCAGTCCAACCTCCTTACAATAAGCAGGGACATCTCCAACTAGGACAGATTGCTCAGAGTCCCATCAAGCCTGACCTTGAATGTGTCCAGGGATGGGGCCTACACCTCTCTAGGCAACCTGTTCCAGTGATTCACCACCTTCATATTTAATAACTTTTTCCTAATGTCCAGCCTAAATCTACCCTTTTCTAGCTTAAAACCATTGCCCCTTGTCCTGTCATTACATGCCCTAGTGGACCCCAGCCTTCTTATGGGCCCTTTCAGGTATTGGAAGGTTGTTATAAAGTACCCCTTCTCTTCTTAAGGCTGAACAACCCCAACTCCCTCAGCCTGTCTTCATAAGAGAGATGCTCCAGCTTCTCCAGGTCCCTCTAGATGGCATCCTGTCCCTCTGGTGTGTTGACCACACAACCCAGCTTGGTGTGATCAGCACACTTGGTGAGGGTGCTCTCAATGCCACTGTCAGTATCATTAATGAAGATATTAAACAGCACTGGTCCCAGGACAGACCCCTGATGGACACCAGTTGTCACTTTTTTCCATCTGGACATCAAGCCATTGACTACTCTCTCTGGATGTGACCATCCAGCCAATTCCTTGTCCACCAAACAGTCCACCCATCGAATCCATGCCTTCAACTTAGGAGGATGTTGTGGAAGACCATGTCAAAGGCCTTGCAGAAGTCCAGATAGGTGACATCCACTGCTTTTCCCTTGTCCATTGATGCTGTCACTTCATTGTAGAAGGCCACTAGGTTGGTCAGGCTGGATTTGCCTCTAGTGAAGCCGTGCTGGCTGTCCTGAATCACCTCCCTGTCCTCCATGTGCCTTAGCATGTCTTCTAGGAGGATCTGTTCCATGATCTTCCCAGGCACAAAGGTGAGGCTGATAGGTCAGTAGTTCCAAGGGTCCTCCTTTCTACCCTTTTTAAAAATGGGTGTAACATGTCCTTTCTTCCAGTCACCAGGTTCTTCACCTGATTGTCATGACTTTTCAAATATCAAGGAGAGTGGCTTGGTAACTACATCTGCCAATTCCAAATACTCCCCTCTGTTACAAGTGTGCCCCATGGGCTGCGCACGTCTTTTTCTACTCAAGCAGAAACTAAACCAGACAAGCCATCTTATTCTATCTGCGGTGTCAAAGAGCAGAGAGAGAGGAACATCAGGGCACAAAAGGAGAAGCAAGGCAAGGACACACTGGGTTTTGGCAAGAAGGATTGGGTGTGTGACCAGGAGATTTGGCTGCATTTGTCCTGGACTTTGTGTTTCCCATCATCCCTGGAGGAGGGAGAAAGATCTCACCAGAGTGCCCCATTCAACAGAGGTTTGGCAGACATAGGTCTGGTCAAATCTCTGACACTTGCCATCGCTCCGCAAACCATTTGCTTTTTCCCTTCAGCAGAAGTTTGGATGCTTTTCTGACCCAGGTTTGGACCCCCCAAGACTTGTAGCCCTTTGCTTTCCCTCTGTGGACAGTAGCAATGTCATCCAAAATTGTGGGGGGTGGGTAGTGGAAACCATCCCAGCTGGTTCTTATGGCAGATGGGTGCTAATGAGTGTCCTATTCTGGTTTCAGCTGACTGGACTGTGTCTGGAGAGGTTCCTACTGTGCAGAGCGCAAGGAAAGAGGTGAAGCGAAGGAAGAAACAAACGGATTCAGGGGAGGAGTACAGGGGGAGAGGAAGAGGAAATGGGAAGCATGAGCCCCTCCAAGGACTATCTCTCACTTCACCCAAGCCTGCGGCAAACAACTTTTTTTTTCTATTTTTTTCTTTCCCCATACCCTCCTCCTTTGGCCTCATCCCACCCTGGCAACTGTACAAAGCCACAGATTGAATCACAGTAAATTATTACTTATGGTGTCGACAAACTGTCTTGATGGCTGTGTCCTCCTTCCAGAGGGTGCTGCTGCTGGTGCTCTGGGAGGATTGCTGATGGGATGGCAGGGAGGGAAGGGTGCTGAGATTTGCTCTCCATGGCCTGAGGTCATGCTGTAGACCATGAAAAGTGATCAGTGTGGGCTGTCTTTCAAAGAAAGAGGTGCCTTTTTCTCCAGCAAGTTGTTGTCATGTCCCTGTCTCCCCCAGGCCACCTCTGTCCCCAAGTTTTGGTGGGGTGGAAGAGTGCAACCAGTTCAAGCCTGTCCTCAGCACTTTCCTGGGTGCTATGCCTTCAACCTAGTCCTTGTGGGATTTCTTTATGGCCTCACATGTGATAGCTGAAAAGCTAGAAGCATCTGATAGCTGGGTTCAGTTCAGATGGTGCCAGTTTGTTGCTTCCTTAATTTATTTTTTTTCCAGGCAGCTTTCTGGCACAGTACATCCCAAATGTGCTCCAGAGATAGAATTAGGCCTTTATGCTCCCCTCCAGCACCTAGCCACTGCTAATACCTGCATAGCACATATACATTGTGCTCCTCCAGTTTGTCAGCAGTGTATAGTGGTACGAAGAACCTTGTCTGCCCTGTGCACAGCTTAATGACATAGCAGAAAGGCTCTCCTGCACTGCAGACAAGTGTCTGACTGCTCAGCAGTGGCTGCTCAACATCTAAGACTAAAGGATTCAGACTTCCAGTCCTTTGGTTCAGAGTGGGTAAGAGTGTTTTAAACAAGGGCTAATCTGTTGGAAAACCTATCTTTGCTCAGCCCTGCTTCTTTGGTATTTATGCCTAGGGTCTGACCTCTTTGTCCCACGTGCTTTACACTTGCAGAGATAAGACAAGGCATTACACTTGCTGCAGCGGGTGGCACAGTGCTTACTGCTCTTCCCTCTCCCAGGCTATTGCACAGGCTAATTTAGCTGGCATCCAGAATTAAGAGCATCAAAGGGAGAAGGTGATCCAGCCAACTGCAGCAGGGCACTGTTCTGCATGGGCTAGCCCAGGCCTGAAGAGGCACAGAGTCTGGCAGCCCAGGCTGGTAGGCATTGGGAGTGGTGAGGGCAGCATGTGAGTCACATGCCTCACGTAGCAGAACTGGTGCAGTTACCTCAGGTGCCCCTGGCACAAAGTCACAGCCCACTCAGGGTTCCTAGCATCCATGCGGGCAGCTTCCCATCCCACTCTTCATCCTCTGTCATGCCAGACAGTACCAAAATTAAACTCTAGTCCTTTCAGGAGTTGCTGCCTTTGCTTTTGGCCTGGGCAAGAGAGAACTTGTGCTAATGACTTGCTTTTTGTATCTCCATGCTCCAAACTGCTGTGGGGCACAGCCCCAGCCTGGCTGCAGCTGCCAGGCACGCAGTTCTTACATAAGGGCTGGTCCTGGCTCAACTGGGAGAAGTTACCCGAAGGAAGAGCTGCCCTGCCTTTAGCTGAGTGTGCTGTATGCAGTAGCACCTGTCCCCATGCTGGATGAGTGCTGAAGATGCTGAGTCAGATGTTACACGGAGGGGACACCAAAGGCTTCCAGAAAACTTCCCAGCCTAAGTTGTTTCAAGTGTGAAGCTTGGAATTATGAGTTTTGTTTTTTAATTGGCTACCTGCACACAACTGCAGGCAAAGAAGGGAGGGCTACTTCATCCTTGTAGAAGACTACTAAAAGCCTTAACAGTTAGTGGGTGGGTTGACATGGGGACTCTTCCTTGGTGGTGTTACTGCACTATGAACCTCATGGTCTTTTTCTGCAATAGAGCTTATCCCATCCTTCAACAGACTCTCGGTAAAGAATGGGGTAGCTCTATCTGGAAACCTTCAGATGAGAAATAATGCTGTGTTTTGGACTCTAATATATAGCATTTGGGGCTCTCTCAAGGACTGGATGATTCTAACCACTGAGAGTGTCCTCTCATTTCTGATGGGGGACCAGAAGCCACAGTCAAGCACCAGGAGCCATGGTCCAGCAAACTGAGGAGCTCTGGGGAGAAATAGGGGCAAGGTGTCTTCACAGAGCAGGCACCAGCTGCAGTTGCAAGAGGCTGGCATCTTGGCAGGGGTGTCCTAGAGAGGCACCGGCCAGAATACAAAGGCCTTCAGCAGTTTGACCAGGAACAAGAAGCAAAAGTACAAATATGTCCCTTTCAGAGAGGTTTCTGCACCCCTCAGCATGAGGTTTTCCAACTTGCTCAGGAAAACTCTGGATCTGGTCAGATCACGTGTTACCATAGCTTGTTTGAGTGTCTTCTAGTTGTCAAAATACTGTTGCTTCCTTGGATCACCCATTAGGGCTGTTGCTCCAAAAGGTGCTGAAGATGAGTTGTTTCATCAGTGATTCAGCACCATCAGGCACCAGACAGGCTTTTCTTCCTGGTGGAAAAGACTAGTTGAAACTTAACATCTTCAATCTGTTGTACACTTCAAATGGTTCCAGATATTGACAGTTTCTTATTTTGGGATGGCTGCTTATAGTCTACTTTATGGCTAAAGCAGATATAGATGTGCAAGGAGTCACTGGGATTCTGCAAATGGACCTGAAAGTTCTTCAGGAGCCAGAAAACATCTTCATATCAATGCAGGTGCTTGAACAGTAACATGACATGACAGCAATTCAGTAATAGGATAGGAGCTGGAACTGGAGAATGGAAGCATCTTAGTAGAACCTAGCTGACAGGAAGTGGTCCAAGACTGGCTGCTTGCAGACCAGTGTAATTCCTTTTTGTGGACTGCACCCAGCAGAAGCGAGACAGCCAGGACCTGACTGTCCAACAGTGCTGGTCAGTAATATGGCCATCTGAAGAAATAGAAGCACCATTGGTTAGCTTTTTGCTGTAATTAGAGGATCACAAGGAAGCCTGACTCACATCAGTGTTGAAATGCTGAAATTTGGAGCAAAAGGAGGTGTAGACGTTTGACACCTCAGTTCTTCTCCTGAAATATTAATCATGTATTAATGTAGTATTGCATCTTTGTTCTAAGAGGTTGGCTTGAGGAGAATCATGACAGATCTTCAATTCATAGTAAGATACATCAGCTCTGATCTGATCTTTGGAGTAGGCAAAAGACAGTTCTCACAGGTGAAGCTGTTACTTTGGACTTGACATTTTCACTTGCCAAGTTTGTGTTGGTAATTTGGGTACAGGATAGCAACCTGCTGGTCATAACAGGCGGGATATTGGTATATGAGTTCATGAAGCTTGCTAGCTGAACTAAGTCTGAAAGTAGTATCAGGGTTAGTTTCATCAGAGTGAATGTAGGCCTGGAGAAGGAATTGCTGCGTTTGGAGTCAATTCAGTTCATTTTCCCCATATTAATTGCAAGGTGCACTTGTTCTAGAAGAACCTGAACTGGAACAAATCACTCTGGATGTCAGCTCAAAACATGTAAAAGCAAAGAAAGTCACTTGGGGATGTCAGCATGGATTCACCAAAGGTAAATCATGCTTTGACCAACCTGATTGCCTTCTGTAATGCCGTAGCTGGCTGGCTAGATGAGGGGAGAACACTGGAAGTTATCCAGTGACCCAGGTAACTATAGACCAGTCAGCCTCACCTCCATCCCTGGAGAGGTGATGAAACAACTTGTCCTTGGCACTACCTCTAGGCATATCAAGGACACGGGGGTCATCAACAGCAGTCAACATGGTTTTACCAAGGGTAAGTCATCTTTGACTAACCTCATAGCCTTCTATGAGGAAATTACTAGATGAATAGATGATGGCAGAGCGAAGTGAGGTGGATTAGGAACTGGTTGAAAGGAAGGAGTCAGAGAGTTGTAGTCAATGGGGCAGAATCTGGTTGGAGGTGTGTGACTAGTGGAGTCCCACAGGGGTCGGTACTGGGACCGGTGTTGTTCAACATCTTCATCAACGACCTGGATGAGGGTATAGAATGTACCCTCAGCAAGTTTGCTGATGACACTAAGCTGGGAGGAGTGGCTGACACACCAGAAGGCTGTGCTGCCATTCAGAGAGACTTAGATAGGTTGGAGAGTTGGGCGGGGAGAAACATGATGAAATTCAACAAGGGGAAGTGCAGAGTTTTACATTTGGGGAAGAACAACACCATGTCCCAGTACAGGTTGGGGGCTGAACTGCTGGAGAGTAGTGTAGGTGAAAGAGACCTGGGGGTCCTGGTAGACAGGAGGATGACCATGAGCCAGCAATGTGCCCTTGTGGCCAAGAAGGCCAATGGCATCCTGGGGTGCATTAGAAAGGGTGTGGTTAGTAGGTCAAGAGAGGTTCTCCTCCCCCTCTATTCTGCATTGGTGAGGCCGCATCTGGAGTATTGTGTCCAGTTCTGGGCCCCTCAGTTCCAGAAGGACAGGGAACTGCTTGAAAGAGTCCAGCGCAGAGCTACAGAGATGATGAAGGGAGTGGAACATCTCCCTTATGAGGAAAGGCTAAGGGAGCTGGGTCTCTTTAGCTTGAAGGAGACAGAGGGGCGACCTCATCAATGTTTACAAATACGTAAGAGGTGAGTGTCAGGGGGATGGAGTTAGGCTTTTCTCAGTGATGACCAGTGATAGGGCAAGGGGTAATGGATGCAAATGGGAGCATAGGAGGTTCAAGGTGAATATCAGAAAAAAAATAATTTCCTGTAAGAGTGACAGAGCACTGGAACAGGCTGCCCAGGGAGGTTGCAGAGTCTCCTTCACTGGAGACATTCAAAACCCGCCTGGACACATTCCTGTGTGATGTGCTGTAGGTGACCCTGCTCTGGCAGGGGGGTTGGACTAGATGATCGTTCAAGGTCCCTTCCAACCCCTAGGGCTCTGTGATTCTATGATTCTATCTGCCTTGACTTTAGCAAGGCTTTTGACACTGTCTCCCATAACATCCTCATTAGGAAACTGAGAGACTGTGGGCTAGATGAGTGGGCAGTGAAGTGGATTGAGAGCTGGCTGTGTGACAGAACTCAGAGGGCTCTGAGTTCAATGGGGCAGGATGAAGTTGGAGGCCTGTAACCAGTGGTGTCCCCCAGAGGTCTATACTCTGT